CGTTTTGATTGTTAATAATACGCACTAGAATCCTTTTCTTCTTATTGCTGTTTTATATTATAGCCCGGTCAATTTACGCATTCAAGGTTACAATAATTTTTATGGGCTGTAACTTTGCAAAATTGTTTAAAATACAATTATAAAAAATGGCGCATGGTCAAAGGTAAAAAAAATTACCCTTTTGCGATTTTTAGCTAAATGGTTAGCTTTATCGCAAAATTACTTGAGACAATATTGTGGAGCATAAAATTATCTACAATAAATGCGTCCTTTTTTTGCTCAGAGCCACCGTTTTAAATTTGAAAAGTACGTTTAAACGTCAACTCGAGGTAGTGTGCTTGCTCGTTTTTTTTACGTGTTTTTTTCAGTAGGTTATTTCACGGGTCTGTTGTGATTTTGTTTGTTTCGGAACACTTGCAAAATAATATTTGTGAATATGGGTTGGTAAAAATAAAAGCGGTAATTATAAAAAAGCAACTAAATTTATTCCTGGGAGACATAATTTTCAAATGTTTCTACATCTTTTTCGTATCGTTTTCCTTAATTTTCTCCTTCTTCTTCTTCTTTTTCTTCAGATCCTCCTCAGAGCCAGATACATCTTTAAAACGGTGGCTCTGAGCAAAAAAAGTATCGATGCATTTTTTGCAGATAATTTTATCCTTTACAATATCGTCTCAAAACTGACTATTTAGCTAAAAATCGCAAAAGGGTCGTTTTTTACCTTTGACCCTGTGCCATTTTTTTTAGCTCGCATCGGATCGATAAGGGATTTTGAGATTTCTTTTATAATTGTGTTTTAAATAATTTTGCCATGTTACAGCCCATTATGAATTATAGTAACCTTCACCCTTATTTTAGGTTTAAATTGACCGGCTATTACGTATATATTATCTTCATCAAACAGTCATTTTTTTCATTTTCTTGTTTCGATAGCATTTTATATCTCGATATAATAATCTACATAAAAACATTTCAATTATCATTCGCTTCTGAAAATAATGCTAAAATGTACTATTTCATTCTCTATTTTTGTAATATTTATATAATATTTGCACGTGTAATATTAATGCATTATGTTTAATTTTGTGATGTGTCTTTTATGATTATTTTATGGCATTTTATGTGACGTAACAACTCATTATCTATTATAGAGAAATATGAACATATTTTTAAAAGTTTTGAATATTATAGCTATTGTATGCGTTACCTTGTAGAATGATACCTACAGTTTTATTGTAAAGTTGGAGGTATTGAAAAGTGTCGCTTTTTTATTGTAACATTGATCGCAATACAAATTGCCAAAAATTCGATAATTTTATAAGTTGGAAAAGCGCCGAAAATAATTTTGAATTTTAGATTGAAGCAACTAATGTCCTTAGTATAATGTTGTATCATGTTAAACTGCTTGATATCAAAATGAATGAAAAAATGTTGGAAGTTTTATGGTTTGTTTA